ACTTTTACACCAGTGACTTGAGACTCGACTCTGACTTGCCTGACATTACTTGAGACTTGACTTGTGACTTGAGGATAAAGAATTGAGACTTACTTGAGACTTGCAAAACAATGACTTGGTCCCACCTCTGCTTTCTTACCAGGACACCCAGATCCTACCACCCGCTCAGGTTTCAGACCGCTGCCTGTGCAGGTTTCAGATCCCTGGTGAAATCTCAGAGCGCGCTCGACAGATCCACCAAATTTGAATTTGGTTTCAGTTTCTGAAAACATCCTGATTTAGAAAATAAAGTGATAGCACAGAATGTGTTGCATCTGATTAAGTGTACACACAGTCACTGGTATGGAAAAATCCTTCTTCCAGCAAATAACGCACCCTGTCACAAGGTTCATGAACTTGACAGTGAGTTTACTCAAATGGCTTCCTTATCACGATAGCTGCCAATGTCAGCATGGGTCCAAATCTCTGAGGTTTCCTGTTTCCAGCACTTTGTTGAACGTATGCAACAAAGACTGTTGTGAATGCAAAAGCAGATCTAATCAAGGTGTACTTCGTCTTAAGCTGTTAATTTTGTGTCTGAATGCTGATTATTCTTCCTTCTTCCCACAGAACCTCAGTACTCTAAAGAACAGGAGCTCTTCACTAGCATCAATGCCACTCGAGTCAAGCTCAACCTGAACGGCTGGAATAACGGCGGATGCCCGATCACCTCGTTCACCCTGGAGTATCGGCCGGTAGACTCGCCCACTTGGACCACGGCACAGCGCACCTCCCTCACCAAGAGCTACGTCCTCTACGACCTGCAGGAGGCCACCTGGTACGAGCTGCAGATGAAAGTCTACAACAGCGCCGGCTATGCCGAGAAGAGAGTCAAGTTTGGAACACTCAGCTACGATGGCAGTGAGTTCACATGGTGGCAGGAGACCATCTGTTTCCCACTCTTTTCTTCACAGGGAGCAGAGCGATTGTCTGTGGTGGGCTACTGAAACCAGCAGGGTACTGTAGCTGTGTGATTCACTGGCTGCTCCAGAGGTAGTATCATGTGAACACTCACACTTTAGGAGGGAATTGGTGATAAAAGTCATAAGTTCTCAGTAACTATAGCATTAAGAGTCTGACTAAGTGTGAGAGTTTGAGGCAAAGAGGAATAAATTACCTTTTCTGTTAATGGCAGAGCTCCAGGCTCAAGAAGACTGAGCCGCCTTTGACAAATCGGGCAATAAAAAGCAAATTTCATACCAAATCTAGTGGCTGCAGCTGGCTTTCATGATGACGCCTTCACAAGCCCTCTGAATTCCAACACAAGAATCAAATAATCTCCTGATCTCCTTTGAGATAAAGGATACCAGCATTACCAGCTCATATTGCACACCAGGGGCTCAGCGGTATTCTACCACAATCACGTCTGAGGAACAAATACTTCATTTCCTCCCTC